TGAAGTGAAGAGATGTAGGTTTTGGCTTTGGGTTTGCAGCTTCAGTTTTCTGGATCTAAATTTCTTTATCAGGAAATGATGTCATTCAACTAAAAGATTTCTAAGACCCTTTCTAACTTTGATATTCTATGATCATAGGCACGTGAGTCTTAACCCCATTTAAAAAAAATACAGATTCCTTGGCCTCACCTCTAGACTTTCTTTTTTTTTTGTTTTTTTTTGAGTTGGAGTCTCACTCTGTCACCCAGACTGGAGTGCAATGGCCGCTCCCGGCCACCGCAGCCTCGACCTGCTGGGCTCCGGCGATCCTTCCGCCTCAGCCTTCCAACCTCTAGACTTTCTTAACCTGGTTGGTCTGGGGTGAGACTGTGCATCAGTATTTTCCAAATGCTCCCCAAGTGATTGTAAATGCTCCAGAATCGAGCATCACTACTCTACATTCTTTGTTGAACAAAAGTGTTTTAAGACAGCAGTTGAGATTTGCACACATGCATGTATGTCACTCTCTGGAGGGAGTGAATATGAACATAAATGCACTTGGGAGTGCAGTGCTTGGCCTGGAGAATGGTGGGAATTCACACTTTTTCTCATATTAATTCAGAAACATGGAAGTAATGCAAACACATATGTCCATGTTGTCTTAATTAGTCCCTTCTGGCTGTTGTGTTCACATAGTCAAGACACGATGCCAAGTCTCTGGGATTCCAGCCCATTTTAATTCCCTGATAGCTTCATAGAAATGAAAACAACAGGTAAGATGGCCTGGAACAAAGACAACACCCAACATTCACACACTGCAGAAAATTAATCTCAGTCTCACTTAACACTTTACACATACAATATCACTTAATCCTCGCAAGAATGAGATTAATTGTCTCTATTTTTAGACATTAAAAAAAAACCTCAGAGACTCAGGAGAAATTAAGTGACTTATTCAAGAAGACACAACTAGAGAGTAGGGGCTGCCAATATTCTAACCCAAACCTTTTGACCACAAATTCCTCTTTCCTTTATTAATTCTGCTTCATGCAATGACTCTACCAGATGAGATCGGATGCATTCAGGGTGGTAGGGCGACAGATGACACCGACTCTACCAAACGATCCTTGGATAGCCAGCCATGAAGTTGTGATAGGAGTGTAGCATACACTAACTTTGGAGAGTAAGAGTGAAGAGAATGGGGCCAATAGTGCTTATTTTTCCTCTATATCCCATGGAGTCACACCCAAGATTGTATTGCCTTAGAATGAAAGCAGTCAACCTTGGTAAGAGCAGAAGAAGGGACCAGGCTAGGCGTGAAGCCTATGTCAGGAGAGCTGAGTCCAAGCAGGTCAGTTCTAGCCTCAGTTGTCACCTTGACCCTGAACAATACAGCGTCGTAATTTCGGACTTTTTTCTTCCTTTTTATTTTTAAGTAGTGACACAATCACCAAAAAAGATAATTTTCAAAGTAGCCAGAAAGAGCAAAAGGCCAAGATGGAAACATTTTTGTAGAACACAACAGAGCTATCAGGTTTGAACCACAGATTCAATACTGCCTTAAAGAGGCTGAACGTTTTCTTGAAGGCCAGGTGCGGTGGCTTACACCTGTAATCCCAGCACTTTGGGAGGCCAAGGCGAGAGGGTCACTTGAGCCCAGGAGTTTGAGACCAGCCTGGGCAACACAGCAAGACTTCATCCCTACAAAAAATAAAAATAATTTAGCCAGGCGCGCCAGTAGTCCCAGCTACTTTGGAAGCTGAGGTGCAAGGATACCTTGAGCCCAGGAAGTCAAGGATATGGTGAGCTGTGATCGTGCCACTATAGTCTAGCCTGAGCAACAGAGTGAGACCCTGACTCCAAAAAATGGTTTTTTCTTGAAGTTCTCAGATTCTTAAATTATGGTTCAAGGCCCTCCAGTAAGCCCAGCAGTAGGTGAGAATAGTGCTTTTCATGCTTTCAGGGAGCAGCAGTCACCTGGAGGACTAGGGGTTCTGATTCAACAGGTCTGGGAAGGCCAGGAAATTTGCATTTCTGACAAATTCCCAGGAGATGCTGATCTTACTGATCTAGAATTAGACACACTGAAGCTCGAGGCAATCTAAAATAGCCTCCAGGTCCCCTCCTCTCTTAGAACCCATTCTGCTGAATTTAAAGAAATTCTGTAGAAAGAAATCAGCAACAGGGGCATTGCCTAATTCTTTGTCTGCACATTCACGCACTTCTAAAAGAGATCATTGCTGACGTTTTCATATATCCATGTGATGGAATCTAAATTCAGACTGATTCACATAGAAATCAAGCAGCAGAGGAAAATTCCAGGGAGCCACATATGAAAGCATTTCATGGGGGCAAAACAAGTTTAGAAATATATGAAAAAGTAAAATTAAGTCTTTAGCATAGTTAGCATTCAGCACGTGAGTGAAAAGCTTGTGCCCAAGGACCATAATCTAGTTTATGCTACATTTGCTCTTTAGGGCATACATTAAAATTTTCAGCACAAGCCATATGGAAAGGGTTGCAAAATTGTACACTGAGAGGTAGACAGTACCTTACTCCCAAATGGCTATAATGCTCACCTCTTAGAGTGCTAAAATAGTAACAAGATCACCAATTTGCATGAGATACATTTAACACTGAATATTTCCAACTCCTGAATAAAAGTAAATTAGCCTATTGAGGCTGGCTCATAAAAAACCATCTTAGAGCTACAAAACAATTCTGAGGTTTTATTCATAATAATACTTAGAGCTTTCATAAGAAAGATTTGAAGACTTCCAATTAAAATATAATGAATAGGTCTAAGCGTCTCCACTAGACACTTGAAGATTAAGACTTACTAGAATGCCATGAAGGCTTGCTTTTATCCCTTCTTCAACATCTCTCTCTCCCTACCCTCTTCTGTTTCAAAGGAATCTTGTATACAAAAAAGCATGATGAAATACAGAATATGTTTTTTATTATGAATATTCAACAAGTTGGATGCCATATAATAAGAGTATAATGAGTGAGACTATGCTAATAATATCTGGTCTACCTATTTTGCGAGTCTGATATCTTTTTTTTTTTTTTTTTTGAGTTGGAGTCTTACTCCATTGCCCAGGCTGGAGTACAGTGGCACTCTCACGGCCACCACAGCCTCAACCTGCTGGACTCCAGCGATCCTTCCACCTCAGCCTTCCAAATAGCTGGAACTACAGATGTGCACTACCATGCCTGGCTAATTTTTAAAAATTTATTGTACAGACTACATCTTGCTGAGTTGCCCAGGCTGGTCTCGAACCCGCGGGCTCAGGCAATCCACTCACCTCAGCCTCTCAAAGGCGTGGGATTACAGGCTGAGCCACCGAGCCCAGCTGCGAGTCTGATATCTTGAACTAGTGTTGGCAAATTGTCTAGATATCTAAAGGTCAGATCAGTTAAAAAAAAAGACTTGCATAAAATTTGAGCTGGGTGTGGTGGCTCACACCTGTAATCCCAGCACTTTGGGAGGTGGAGGTGAGAGGATTGCCTGAGCCTTGGGTTTGAGAGCAGCTTGGGTAACTTGGTGAGATCTCATCTCTACAATAAATCAAAAAATTAGCCAGGTGTGGTGGCGCATGCCTGTAGTTCCAGCAACTTGGAAGGCTGAGGTGGAAGG